AGTCTGATGGTTATATCATGCCTCCCAAACTTCCAACCTGAACTTTACTTGAACTCTGACTACTGATTTGACATTTCCAGTGTGACACCTAATAAAGCATTTCATAATATGTCTAAAACAGAACCCTTAGTGTCTATCTCCTCATCCCTTAGTCCAATTCTGCTCCGCCCTTTCCAGAATTCACCACTCTATTAATGTTGTTCTCATTTACTCAGTTACTTATGTAAAAAATCTAGAAGTTGTCTTTGAGTCCTCTCTTTTTCTAACCCCACAAAATGTATCCTAAACCTCAGCATGAGGAGCAGGCTGATTAGAAAGATGCATTCTGATGTGGTAATTTGAGAGATGCAATATGTAGGACATCTGATGAACAGCAAACTACTCCCAGGTCACTTCAAGTTTATTTTATTCTTCAGTCTTTCAGTGGAGATATCAAACCGGGCCATCTCGGAGGTCAGATATGTAAACTTCAAATCCTGGGACTTTGTTTTCAAACTTGGGTGTTACAATCTAGCTCTCGTAGGTCCATAAACAGGAGCCTGGGGCAAGCTGCTATATAACAGGTAGACTCTGTCCATCTTTGTTCATTGCAGGCAAAAAGACTTAAGGAGAACTGACAAGAATGAATCAGCATCTGCCCCTCCCCCAGTGGCCATGGCACCGTTTGTCTCACTCTCTTGGTGTCTCCTTCCCTGCGGAGTTGTCTTCCCATCCTCACCTCGCTTCACTCCTCGACTCAGTGCTGTTAAGAAGACATGGCCTGTCCTGCACAAAACCCCAGACTACCACTTTCATATTTCTTACTTCATTTTTCATAGTCGAATATTTATAATTCAAAAATTTATTTCTTTATTTAAATAATGATAAAAAAAACATTTATTTCTTATTATTGGAACTACAAAGGTCATGTATTGATATACTACAAAGTTCTAAAAATACAAACAATGAAGAAAATAAAGTTTCCTTACAATTCTACCACTGAGAAATAACTACAACAGTTAACACTTTTAAGTGTTTTTCTAGCATCTTTTTTTAGTGCATTTATATTTGGAAGAAAAAACTAGTCTCAAATTTTATTTAAGAATGAACCCTTTTTTGTGAGTTATTGTGCACAAATGTCCTCATAGGAAGTAATTGGCTTTCCTGACAAATTTCATAAGCAATTTCTGATGGATTCTGAGGAGATTGAAACCATGTTTGAGAAATCAATTCTTCCCAGTTGACTCTCAGCTGACTATCAGTAAAGATTCTAAAAGATCTTTAGGTAGACATTTTTTTTGGTATCTAGTCTAACAATGATTACCTAACCTTTTCTTATCCCATAAATTGTCCCTGCTAAGAGTAACTCCTTAGATTAGCCCGCCATAGTTCTTTTCTCTGCAGCAAGATTATCATAAAACTTTGGCATGTGCTCTTAACAAAATCATCTTTAAAAAAATAGACCTAGAGACATAGAAAAGAGTATGGTTCAGACTGAAAAACTTCAGTCTGAGGGGTAAGGGGGAGCAATGAGATTAACCAAAGGAATTATATGCATGTATGTGTAACCAATGGACGTAGACAACAATGCTTGGGGTTGGGGGATCAGGATAGGGAGGAAGGTATCTGGGGGCAAAAAGGAGAAACATCTTTAATAAAAATAAATTAATTCAAAAAATTTGATATTAATATGCAAAAAAAAAAAAAAAGTTTTTTTTAAAGCTACCATTAATGAGACCTCACTGTTTTTTTTTGTTTTTGTTTTTAATCCTCACCAAAGAACATTTGTGCATTCATCTTCAGATTGAGCAGGAGGGAGAGAGGGAGGAAGGAAAAGAGAGGGAAACATTGATGTGAGAGAGACACATCAACTGGTTGCCACCCACACGACCCCAACTGGGGCTGGGGACAAACTGCAATCTGGTATGTGCCCTTAGTAGAAACTGAACCTGGGACCTTCTGGTCTGCGGGCCAACGCTCTAACCACTGAGCAAAACAGGCCAGGGTGAGACCTTACTGTTTTGTTATAAGTATAAATTATTTTAATGCCAATCATATATTCTCTAAACCCTCTGCCTAAAAAATCTGGATATCCTTTTTATGGGAGATAACCTCTCATGGACCCAGTTTTTGAGAAGTGACAGAATGTTTACTGGAAATGATGTTGGCAGTACACACCCCGAGAACCATCACTCTGCTATGTTAGAATTTTATCCCAGGGAAAGAACTGAATACTTATTGCTAGATCAGTAGGTATAGGCACTAGTGGGTATTAGTCACAGCATCACCACCGGCATCATGACCAAAGAGATGAATGGGATTAAACTAGTAATATGTATAAAGTGCTTTTGTACATAATGAAACTTATGTAGTTTAATCTTCATAACTACAGTTTGAGGTAGAAACTATCATTCTTCCTGTATTTCAGGTGGAGAAACTAAAGTACAAAGAGATTCTATGTCTTCCTCCAAGTAAAATAGATATGGCAGAGCCAGAATTTAAATTCAGCTGCTTGAGCTCCAGTTTCCCCAACCCTCCCCTGAGAGTCAGAGATGAACATCAAGAGACCTGCATTCTTGTTCTGCTTTCATTTTGTTTCTGACCAGCTGTGGACCCTTGGGCACACTGTTCTCCTATGAATTCCACAAATATCTGTTGAATATGTATGCGAGATAGTTTCCAAAGATGCTGCCATGAGTTCTTTCCCTCTCAGTATACATGTCAGTTTTGTTTCTCCTCCCTTTGAATCTTGACTACCCCTGTCACTGCTTTGACCAATAGAATGGGGAAGATGATAGGACTTCTAAGCCCAGGCCTTAAGAAGATTGGAAGGTTCTGTTTTCTTCCTCTTGGAACCATTCCTTTTGAAATCCAGCAGTCATGCTGTGAGTAAATACAAGCAGCCATGTGCAGAAGTCCATGTGAACATAGCCTCAGTTAGGCTAATGGGCAGCCATCTGCACCTACAGCTAGCTTTATGAATAAGGCCATTTTGGACCTTCCAGTTATCCCATTGTCTCAGCAATTACCATGTGAAACAGAAGAACTAAATGGTGAACCTGCAGAATATAAACAGCAATATAATGTTTAAACAATTAAGTTTTGGGTGGTTAGTTATGCAGCAAATGATAACTGAAACAACCTACTATGTGCATACAACACCTCATCTTTAAAATATGGACATTAAGACCTATCTCATTGACCTTTCAGGAATGCTGATAAAGTAGAAAGTTCTAAGTACTATTGGTACCAAAGCAGCATAAAAAGTTTAGCCCAATGCTCGAATATGTACTTTTAATTCTCACTTGGCTCATACCATAAGTCCTAATTATACTTAGAAACAGTCATTGGATGTTTTATTGTTTTTATTATTATTGTTATTGTTATTATCTAATTCTCACTCAAGGATATTTTTCCATTTATCTTTAGATGGAGTGGGAGGGAGGGAGAGAAAGGGATAGAGAGAGAAATATTGATGTTAGAGGGACACATTGACTGGTTGCCTCCCACACAACCCTGACCAGGGCCGGGGATGAACCACAACCAAGGTATGTGCCTTTGACTGGAATCAAACCTACGACTCATTGGTCTGCAGGCTGACACTCTAACAGCTGAGCCAAACTGGTCAGGGCTCAGATGTTTTTTTGTTATTATTATTGTTATTAATATTATTAAAGCTGAAGACAAGAATTTAAGATATTTATCCATGAACTTAGCTTAACTCACAGAGGAATTACTTGAGAATGGATACAAGCTAAATGGTAACTTGACTTTAAAGAAGTATTTACTTCAGCATACACTTATATTGAAAAAGGTAATAGCTATTGACCTCCTTAAAATATTATAAATTAGCCCTGGCCGGTTTGGCTCAGCGGTTAGAGCATCCGCCTGCGGTCCGGAGAGACCCGGGTTTGGTTCCCGCTAAGGGCATGTACCTCGGTTGCAGTTTGTCCCCGGCCCTGGTTGGTCGTGCGGGTGGCAGCCACTCGATGTGTCCCTTTCACATCGATGTTTCCCTCTCTCTCTCTCTTCCTCTCTCTCCCTCCCACTCTGTCTGTGCAAAAAATGGAAAAATGTCCTCGGATGAGGATTAAAAAAAAAAAAAAAAAAAAAAAAAAAAAAAAAAAAAAAAAATATTATAAATTATTACTTCCTCACCACCAGTCTGAAAAGAAATCTTTTTCCTTTCTGTTTTTTTTTTTTTTTAAATTATCAGGGAAAAGTCATTTGTAATAAACTTTAGGCAAAATGTCTGTTTGAAAATATGAAACTACATGCCTGGTGTTTCTTTCAAAATCTTGTGCACAGGTTTCTTCAATGTCACCCATTTACTCCCCTCTTGTGGCCAGTTCCATCACTACCTTCCTCGCAACTTGGGCTGATTGTATTGAGATTTCCATTCTGCAACCCCTCTTCCCTCTAACCCTCATACCCATCCTGTCCATACCTTTCAGCTCCAGCAAGGTTCAGGAAGGACAAGCAAGCTTCTGAACTCTCAGCTGGATGTTCGAATTTGAACATCTATTTCGTCATGTATAAAATGGCACTAATAAAATTTATCTCCTGAGGTTGTAAGAAATTATGATTGTAGCTGAATTTAGAGCAGAGTTCAGCAGTCTCATATGGAAAAACAATTGTTTTATCTTTATTTAAGTTAAAAAAGTCAACTCATCTAGGTAAATTTTACTCTGATAAAATATACTCACTTTGAGTGTGTAGTTCAGTGAATTTTAACAAACTTATATTCATGTGTAACGACCACCACAATAAACATATAACACATTTCTATTACCCCAAAAAGTTTCCTTATGCCCTTTGTAGGCAATCCTCCTCTATTTCTGGTTCCAGGCAACCATTGATCTGGATTCTGTCACTATAGATGAGTTTTGCCTTTTGTAGAAATTCATATGAATGAAATTATACGGTATATATTTATTTGTGTCTGGCTTTTTAAATGTGTTTGAGAGATGCATCTATGCTGTTGCATGTAACTAATCCCTTTTCTTTGTTGTATAGTATTCCATGGAATGAATATACCACAATTCATTTTATCTTCTACTATTGATGAACATTGGGTTGTTTTCAGTTTGGAGCTATTAAGAATGGTGTTGGTAAGAATATTCATGTCTAAATCTTTGTGTGGGTATAAGTTTTATTTCTCTTGAGTAAATATTTAGGAGTGAAAATTCTGTGTCATATTGTATTTTACATTTACATAAGAACATAAGTATAAGAAATACCATGTTGTTTGCCAGAATGGTGATCTTCCATTTTTTGCCATGACTACATTAGAGATTTAAAGAATTTCAGAAAAAAAGGGAGTTTAACAATGAGGAACATGGATATGTTGTGTTTTCTCTTTGTTTTTCTTTTTATTTGAAACATTTTTTTTTTTCATTTTTGTAAAAGAGAAATAGCCAGAAGAAATAAAATGGTTTTCTGATCCTGAAAAGAAAGGAATTAAAAAGAATGCTAACAAATTTGCATCCTAATAGGGCAGAATGTTTCCTTCAGCCTGGAAGGTTTTCATTCTTCTTTTTCAGACTCTTAACCTATCTCAGCCCCAATGATCTAATGCTTTGCAGATTTGTCTCAGTAGGCCTATTACATGTTTCTTTGGTACCACATAACCTTCATTTATGGCAGTTAGCATAATTTATAGTCATTTATATCTGTGGAATTAGTTTATTAGTGTTTTTCTTTCTTATTTCACTGAGAGGAATGAAATCTCTTTATATCCCCCTGGATACATTTGAATAAGTGAACAAATGAATGAAAGAACTGGAAAAGAGACTAACAGAACAAGGCTTCCAAACCAGCAGATGTGACTCTACAAAACTGGTTGAAAGTCTGTGTGTGCTTGTCAACTGCCAGCTCTCCCAAAAGACCACAGCGGTGCTCTGTTGATCAAGCAAAACTGTTCATTACTTACTGAAATAGGGGAGACCACTGCCTTAACGAAGTCTTAGTAGTAGCTTAAAAGGGAAAGGTCAAGGGCAGATATGTATATGGTTTTAGATCTGGTTTCAACTGGTTTAAGACAGGCCCTTCAATGTGTGCCTCCTATGTGGGCAAAATTCTTTATTTAATAGTTTGGTGCTGATGGACACCCAAAGGTGAGCACTCTAGAGGAAGAAGGTCTGCCCCATGGAGCAACCTGTTGACCTAAGAAAGGGGGCTGGTTGAGTAGTCCACTGTTTGAAAATAAATGTTTTCTTGAAGTTCCTGGAACAAACATCGAAGTTTTTTACTGGGCAGGAATTTTCTGGAACAAAGAGTAAAGTCATGTTGATGTAGGCTTACTTCTTTCTAGTAGTAAAGTTCTAAGGCTGCTGGCAGCTTCTCAGTCTTAAAACTCAGTTTTCTAAGACTTAGTATGAAAAGTCTTCTTCTCTGGCCTTTTTATGCTGAATAAAGAGGCTGTGTTTTACAATTGCTCATATTGTTGATTGTTAAATGTTGGAACATTTGTAGGTATGACTGAGATATTAACTGTTACATTTTCACCTGTTGAATTCGAGCCATTAAACCTTTTTAGTATATAAAACAGCAAGTCCTGGAATCAAGATATGGATTTGTGATGCTTCCGTCTTTTTGTCCTTTCTCTGAGTTTCCTTTATTTATTTATTTTTATTTATAATAGCTTTACTAGACAAAAGTTTAACTTCTCTGTCAAAAATCCAATGGGAATGAAGAGTAAGAGGAAGTATAATGGTATGATTGTGGATAATTGTAAAGAAGTCTCATCATTTAGGGAGTAGTAGTGGTTGAGTTATGAGCAAATTTGCATATGGTATCAGTATGGCTATTTTGCTGCCAAAGTGAGGAACACTGAGATCTCCACAGGACTTTGGTGATGGGCCATCTCTTTGACCAAGATGTACAGGACTGGGAGGTTAAGGTGGAAGGAGAGCAGAAAGAGTTACAGAGGCAGCTAAGTGCAGTTAAGGTAAGTTGCTGTTTCCCCACCAATCATATCCCTGGCTATATCATGAACCATTCACCTGTTTGAAATGGAAGACAGAGCCAGTCCATAAAGCATTCGATTGGCACCATCACTATCACATTACACATAATTTGCAGCCAAGGTTGACGCATCAGTATTGGAGGAAGCATTCTGGGACTTGTGCATTCCCTCACCACATGTATGGCAGGTAGAGATGTAGGAAACTTTCTGGCCATGGAAAGTAAACATCTCACCTCCGAAAGAGTAGAGTCCTGCAAACACCATGAAACAAAGCCTCAGTATTTTGAGCTGAGCCAAAACTCCCCAAAAAGAGAGGGTGGAGCTTGGGCATCATTTTCCTTCTCTTCCCTTATGTAATATTGTCACATCATCTGGGGATAATGTGTGCAGAAGGGACCTTTAGAAATTTGGTTGTGCTACAATTTATGGCTCCTCTCAGCAACTAAATCTTTGCCCTCTGATGTGTAGCCCAGCAACCATAATTCCTCTCTCCCTTTTTAAAAGGTTTTTTTTTTTTTTTTCCATAAGATATATGAACACAACTTTAAAATTAAATAATATGCCTCAAAAATAGAAGGGGACTTTGCTCTTTCTATCTCTAGGTTCTGCTGCCCAAAACCCACTTTCATCTCTTTCAACTCGTTCTTCTGGTGTTTATCTCCATGTGCTTATACTCTTTCTGCATTTATTCATTTTAGACCCTTTGCTGTGTTCATTCAGGACTCAATACCTTTACATACTCCCTCCCCTTTTCTTCTCTTTCTCAGAATTACACTGCAATCTTTACCTAAATTAATTATCCTGCTTATATGATTTGTAAATATGGCTCACCTCAGGGCCAAGTAGGAACTTGTGATTATCTTTCTTGGACAGTGCTTTATTTTGTTGTGTTTCTCACTTGCACAGATTTCTGGGTCCTACCTTATTTTTTTCCATCAGATCTGTCAATGCTCATTGATAGCTTTTCCAAAACCTCAAACATATCAGATAATTTATTTGTTCTACTTTTTTTTTCTCAAGACTCTCTGCAGACACCTCTGTCCTGTTCTGATGCAGTCTTTAGGATTGCAGCACAGGGGTCATCTTGCAATTTTTCTTCACATCACCCTGTGACCTCCCTTTCTGGAGGTTCTGTTTCTGTATTCCCATATCTTTCACTTTCCTGGCTTCCTCCTTCCTATTGTAGGATAATCTTCTCTCATGGTTTCCTAAGAAAGGACACATGGGAGGCAATTATTGTTCAGTCTAGGGATATATCTGAAATGTCTTCATTCTTCCTCTTACAATTGCTTATAATTTGGCTGTACTCAATAGATTCCTGGTAGAAACTCAATTGCTTTATTGTCTTCCAGCACACATATTGCTCACATATTGCTGTAACTAGTATAATAGAAATTTTATTTTCAATCCTTTGTAAATTACATTCTCTCTCTGTCATTTTTAGAATCTGTATTTTGATGGACCTCAGACTACTAGTCACTCCTTTCAAAGTGAAGGTATGTTCTATAGTTATAGAATTTTCATTTTATTATTTCTATGATAATTTTCTTCCCTTTTTCTCTAAGATGCTGGAATAACCATCATTTGGATTTCAGGTCTCCTGGATTAATTCTCGAAGATTCTCATCACTCTGTAAGAAAACTTTTTTTCTACTTGTTTCATTCTTGAGAGGTTTAATCTACTTTATTTTCCAAACCTTATTTTTTAAACTTATCTTTATTGTTGAATGTATTTTAGATGTCCCCCACTTTTGTCCCCATTGACCCCCTCCTCCCTGCTCCTGCCCCATTCCTGCCTTCCCCCTATACTGTCTGTGTCCATTGGTTATGCATATATGCATATAAGTTCTTTGGTTTATCTCTTCCCACCGCCTTGACCCCTTCCCTTTGAGGTTCATCAGTCTAACAACCAATTTGTATTTCTTAATCCCTTCACCTTTTTCACCCATCCTCCTAACCCCCCTTCCATCTGGCAACCAAGAAGTTTTCTGTATCTATGAGTGTTTCTGTTCTGCTTGTTTGTTTTGTTTGTAGATTCAATTGTTGATAGATATGTATTTATTGTCATTTAACTGTTCATATTTTTGATCATCTTCTTCAAGAAGACCCTTCAACATTTCATATAATACTGGTTTGGTGGAGATGAACTTCTTTAGCTTTTTTTTTTTTTTTTTGTCTTGGAAACTTTATATGACCATTGATTCTAAATGATAGCTTTGCAGGATAGAGTAATCTTGGTTGTAGGTCCCTGCTTTTCATCACTTTGAATATTTCTTGCCACTTCCTTCTGGCCTGCAAAGTTTCTTTTGAGAAATCAGCTGACAGTTTTATGGGAACACCCTTGTAGGTAAACAACTGTTTTTCTCTTGCTGCTTTTACGATTTTCTGTTTGTCTTTAACCTTTTGTAATTTAATTATGATGTGTCTTGGTATGGGCCACTGTGGGTTCATCTTGTTTAGGACTCTCCGTGCTTCCTGGACTTTTGTATGTCTGTTTCCTTCACCAAGTTAGGGAAGTTTTCTGTCATTATTGTTTCAAATAGGTTTTCAATTTCTTGCTCTCTCTCTTCTCTTTCTGGCACCTCTATGATGTGACTATTGGTATGCCTGAAGTTGTCCCAGAGGCTCCTTATACTACCCTCATTTTTTTTTTTTGATTCTTTTTTCTTTTAGCTGTTCTGATTGGGTGTTTTTTGCTTCCTTATATTCCAAATTGAGAGTTTGCTTCTTGGCTTCACCCACTTTATTATTGATTCCCTGTAAATTATTCTTTATTTCAGTTAGTGCATTCTTTATTTATGACTGGTCCTTTTTAATGTTGTTGATGTTCTCACTAAGTTCCTTGAAATTCTCACAAAGTTTCCTGAGCATCCTATAACCAGTGTTTTGAACTCTGCATCTGTTAGATGGCTTATCTCCATTTTGTTTAGTTCTTTTCTTGGAGTTTTGTTCTGTTCTTTCATTTGAAACATGTTTCTTTGTCTCCTCATTTTGGCTGCCTCCTGGTGTTTGTTTCCATGTATTAAGTAGAGTTGCTATGTCTCCTAGGCTTCCTAGGATGGCCTATTGTAGGTGTCCTATAGGATCCAGTGTCACAGTCTCTCTGATCACTCCAGCTGGGATGTCAGGGTATATTCCTCATGTGGACTATATACCCTTCTGTGGTAATTGAGTCTTGATTACTGTTGGCACGTCAATGGAAAGAATTTACTCAGGCTAATCAGCTGTAAGGGCTGGCTGTACCCATTGACCACTGACCTCTGACTACCTTGGATGATCAGCTATGCAGGGGCCCACCACACAGAGCAATATTTACTTCAGCAGGGCTCTGGTACTCACTATGTCCACTCCTTGAGTGTGTCACTTGTGGAGGTGATTGGGTGGTGGTGCTTCCATGTGATCTGAAGTTGTCCACTGGGAGTGCTGGCTCTGAGGCAAGGTTAGTCACTGCCTGTGTTCTACCTGGTACCACCAGGCATAAGCTACAAAGCTATCTGCAGATGGCTGCTTCTTGTGCTGGATTTGGGGTTTCCAGGCAAAGCCAAACTGTTGAACTATGGCTGACTGCTTCTAGTGCCATGCCTAGGGCCACTTAGTGAGAGGTATGGAGCTTACTGTGGTTAGATGCTGTTCATTTGAGAGAAGTTAGGAAAATCTGAAGCAGGAGCCAAGACAGGCAAATCTTATGCTAAAGCCACTGGAAATAGCTTGCATGGATCCCAAAATTGGGTGGGGCAGGGCCTCAGATAATCACCAGAATGGGGCAAACAGTGTGAGCCAGGTTGCTGGAGTCCCAGCTATGGCACCCATCTGTCAACCCCATGGGGGAAGGGCTCACCAAAAGAACAATGGCTTCTGTCAGCACATCTGTCCAGGAGAACACTGCCTCTCTACCTCTTGCCCTGATACTAAACAACTCAGTTCTTCTCTGTATGTCCCTGATGCTTTTCAAGCTATCTACCCCATGCTGGAGCCTGGAGGGTGCGAGTCCAAGTAAGTGCATGCACGAGCCCGTTAAGAGGAACTGCCTGCAGCTCCAGCAGCCTCAGCCTCCTTCAGCCTCAGTTCCTGGTGGTTTTTAGGGAATTTTGTGCTTGAGCTGCCTATGAAAGCCACATTACACAAACTATTGAATGTGTGTCACTGGTGGCACATGACTTGACTTTAGGACACAAATGGCTAAACCATTTTTCTTATTATATAATAATATATATTATATATCATATATATAATATAATAATATTATTTGATTTAGTGTGTGTTGGCAAAAATATAACTAGCACACCAAGCCCATGATGTCATGGATATTATTGCTTTAATACAAATGCAGTAAATGAGAGTGAGTCAAGTTTAAAGCATTAAGATAAACAACAGTATGGGGGATACAGTCATGGCAAAATGTCATGAAAGAGGTACTCAAATGTTTGATGTTTGGGAGACAGTATCATAAGAAAAAGAAGGCCTCTTTTAAAAATTCTTCTTCTTCTTTTTATTATCTTTGTTGTTGGAAGTATTACAGATGCCTCCGCCGCCCCCCCCCCCCCGTTGTCCTCCTCCACCTGGCTCCCGCCCTGCCCCAGTAGGGTTCCATGTGCAACTGGCAGCCAGAACAAAGGGACAGAGATGGTGGTGGAGGAATTACAAGTGCCTCTGTGTCTGAAGAGTGGTGAGAAGTGGTCAGGGGCTGGATTACAAAGAACCATGTATTTTCTTAAGTATTATTTTAAAACACTGGCTCGATGGTTGTACAGTGTCTGGTCTGAGAAGCAGCATGGTTACTCATTGTGGCTGATCCAAGTAAAGTCAATGAGTAATGATTTGCCTCTGAATTATTTACAATTAGAAATGGACACAGAGTAGCTTTCTGCTGCTGCAAAGCAAACTATTAGTGTGTTTCCTGTCCCCCACCCTCACCCCCATTCAGCACATGTGCCCATGGCAAGTCATTGAATGCTGAGGAAATATACATTTATTTTAACACAAATTTCTTCAGACCTTAACCAGAAGGGTAAATCTGCTATAAAATCTAAGCTAATGCATTTTCAATGAGTACACACATAATGAATTTTAGATTTCTCTTCATTGTCAATATTCCTGGTTTTTGCATCTGCACAAATTAAATACACTCAGGAACACAACATAGCAATTCCAGGGTTCTGCAGCTGCACTGCCCAGCCATGGCGGTAGCTACTAGCCATATGTGACTAAAGTTAAAATAATTACGTAAAATAAAAAAGTTAGTGTCTCACACTAGTCACATTTCAAGAGCTTTCTAGGCACATGTGACCAGTTGCTACAGTCCTGGATATCACAATATGTAACACTTCCATTATCAAAAGTTCTCTTAGCTAGCACTGTTCTATGGTTACACAAAGCCTATTTTTTATTGAGATACAAGGGATATATTATATTAGTTATCAGTGACAACATGACCCAGTATTTCTACAAAGCCTGCTTTTAAGTTTTAAAAAGTCTCTTAAATTTACATACTATAATATTGACATTTGTCTATGTGTGTACAATTCTGAGTTTTAATACAAGTACAGATAAAAGTACATACCACCACACCACTATGGTATAGAGAAAGACATGAGCAGAACAAGAACTACAGGCCAGGTACAGAAGGTCACCAGGCAGAAAACCCCAGGTACCTAGCAAGAGGCAAAACTGGGAAAACAAGTACCTCACCCCCCAGAGCAACCTTTCTTCCCCTGGCGTATCACTGGTCATGTGTTAGACACTCCGACCTTTTCTCCCTAGAGGTAACATCTAGGCCTTGGTTATATTTAAGTTCCAGGCTCAAAAAGCAGCAAAACCAGGTGGGTGATGCCAGGACCAGCTTCACTGAGTAATGACCCCTGCTCTGGTACTGACCAATCAGCAGAGACCACGACCCTGAAAGGACACATCTGGAAAACTAATGAAGATTCTATTGAGATCCTCCCCTGATACCTCCCCTAAGATTCCTGCCTGCAAGAGAGAGAGAAAAACCGCTTGGGACGGAGCTTGCCCCCTCCCTCTGGGGAGCATGCCTGTGCCTTTCCCTTCCTCCTCGTTTCCCCCCACAGGCACGCATTTCTTAACTCAAAGCGACCCCACAAGGCTTGCAACAAGGGGACCAATGGGCAGTGGCAGCTTGTCCTGGGCTAAGGCCCTGAACCTGTCCCCAAGGACCCCTTTTTTATCTTGCATTATAGTAAGCAAAAGCAGCCCAGCCTAGGTTCTCCTGTAGCTTCTTCTATGCTAAGCCCTTCCTTGTTTCACTGTCCTGAGTGTTTTTGTTGCAGCCAATGCATTCTTGCTGGCTTTACTGCACTTTGTCTTTTGACTAAAATATTTCTTTCAGAAGACAAGAGCTGAGGCCTCATTGTCTTGCTGGTATCACAATGATACAGAACACATTTCCTCACGCTGCTCTTTTAGAGGCAAACCCTTTTACCACCCCAAACAACCATTAATCTATTG